TCAAATGAAATACAAAAGAAAGTAAAATCCGTAAATGAAATCAAAATTAAGAGACAAAAGGCAAATTGAATGCCTGAAACCTTAAAACAAAAAGCAACAAAAAAAAAAAAAAAAAAAAAAAAAAAAAAAAAAGTGCTCAATCCACTTCTCAAAAAATGTTCTTAACGCTTAGAAAATTAAGGGGGGGGGGGGGGGGGGGGGTGAGTTGTATATTCATATTGTAATAAGGGGGGAGAGGAGGGGTGAAAAAAGTCGTTTTTTTGCGTAACGTAATAAGTGAACGGCCCCTTAGCAAAAAAACGCTTTGAACATAAATGCCGGGGTGTATGAAGGGTCTAAAACTGAATGTGTAAAAAAGCATGTAAATGTAGAAATCAAGAGTGAGTGAGGAAAGATCGTCAAGTAAAGTGGATAATGTGAAAAATAAAACGAGAAGAAATTAAAGAAAAAAAGGCCGAAATCATTCCGACATACAGAACAAGGACTTTAAAGCTGTTCTATGCTCTTGAATGAGAAAAAATGCTTAACATATTCATTATAAGTAAAAAGTAGAAAATCAAAAAACACAAGAAGAATAAATTGAAGTGGGAAAAATTTCAATAATCCCCGCTCAAAACTTTTTTGTACCTACATTAAGTCGCATTGTATCGAGGCAAAGCTTTCCCCTTCTTTTTTTTGCGTACTGCTACTGATAACAAATCCGTACAAACATACAAAAACCATATCACACATAAAATTACATTAAAAATCTTGAATGTGAAGAAACAATTTTTTGGTGCCAGTAACAGAAGCTAAGATAACAAAAAAACGTATCACTGTGATGATAAATAAGCATCTTAAACGAGCAGAGATTTTTATGATTATGGGGAAATGCTCTTTTGTCTCATAAGTTGTAAAGAAGAATCCAGCTCTTCTTGAAGGGTTTTTTTATATCTGATAAATGAAGCTTTTGAACACATTTGAATGGAAGAGTACATTGAACTTTTAAAGTGCTGCGATGCGGTTAACGTGTTTGTGTTATTCATTCGAAAAAGGCGTGTTTTGACTAAAATAAATGAATTACAGACAGTAATAACTGGTTTGTTTACTTTTTTGACTTTTTTTTTCTAAATTTGACAATTTTCTTTGAATTTGACAAAAATTCAATCAAACTCTGTTTGATTTAAGCAAAGCAAGGCTAATTTATGGATTTTGAGTAATTCCTTTATGAATTGGTCACCCATAAATTTAAATAAACATAATTGAATCTGAATTCTAAAATTATTTATATTTTTCGTTCAGTGAACAACTTTTTTCTTGCATTCAAATTTTTTAAATTTTAAAAAATCTGTTACAAAACTTTTGTCATCTCGGAAGAAAAATCTTTAACTTTAAAAATTCCATCAATCTATATCACTTAAAATTCTAATTTAAAAAAGAACAGCCCTCAAATGTCATATCCATACATCACCATAGGAACTGACATGAGGATTAGAGCAAAAAAAAAATTTCCACAACACGCAACTTTAATGCCATAAGTCATAAAACTGTAAATATTAAGTTCTTGTCAAACGATTATGTATGCAGCTAAAACGGAATTATTAAAACACGTCCGCATAAATCATTCAGCAAACATGTGAAATTGATAACAAACATGTTTGATTTTAATTTTTTTCAATTTAATGTGAAGCAAATTTCATTTACCAAAACTTGATGTTAACACGACTTACGTATAAGTACATCCAGTGTAAAATCCATAAAAAGGCATTTTCATTGTCATAAGCTCCTTAGTTTACTCATAACAGCACGCATGTTAATGTTTTATTTACACTCAACAGGGAATAAATATGGCATGTAAGTAAAGGAGGCACAACAAAAAAAAAAGTTTGAAACTTTATCACTTTAAGCATCACATTAAGTGTCAGTATTTTTTCCTTCTTATTTTTATTGTCAACACTTCAAGTCATTTTTCTTCTTCTTTGAAGCTTGTTCCTCGTTAAATTTTCAAGTACCTTCAATGTGGAGTGAGGAGGATATAAGAAGAGGAATTTGTTCTTCATTTGAAGATAATTAAAAGGAAATTTAAATATCCGACAGACAGATGTTGGTGGGAGAGCTAAAATGCTAATATACTTTTAAAAGAACGTACAAAGAGAACAAAATGGGGATGAGTGACTTGAAGTAAAAGAAGAAGAAGAAAAGTAAGGAAATATAGGTTGGATTAAGAAAAGTCAAAAGCGCTTTTTTATAAGTTTTGGACAGAGTCGTTATCTTTGATACCAATCTTTGCCAAAAAACCTCCTCCCAAGTCAAACCTTAGTCCCAACTTAATACCACAAAACAAAAGCTACTCGCCCCAACTCAGAATAAAATTATGCAAGCTTACGATCAATAGAAATGACGCCTCACAGCATCAAAGTCATTTATCAATGTAATGTTTGTGCACAAGGAACCGTCTGAACAAGAAAGAAAGCAACATTTATGTCTAAAACAAGTAAATTTCATTAAATTTTGATCTTGTACCGCATTATCCATAGAAATGCCATTTATTAAATTTGAGGCTTAAAATTCTATTGAGTGAACCCGTTTCAGAGTTTATTGGCTGTCAAAGCAGCAATACATTATGGGTCGATAATCTTTGCTTAAAAATATCATTTCAGCACCCTATAATTATCAAGTAATTAAGGCACTTCAATTTCGTCTCTTCTTGTTCCTCTCTTGTCTGTAAAATGGAATATTAATCACTCCTTACAGTTGAAGCACTTCTCATTATGTAAATGAAAAACCGTCATGTCATCTTACACTTACTTGGATCGAATTTATGCGCCTTCCATATAAAGATTAACTACTTTCATGATTAATTGTCATTCACTGTCGACTACTCAATCGTTAATTATTGTTAATCTCAAATGAAAAAGATGAAATAATCCAGTGGCATTATTGATTCTGTAGGTTGAAGTAAAAGCTCTTTCAATTTGTTAATGAATGTCAGAGTTGAAGTGCGGCAAATGTCAGTGGCAGATTTTGGACTAACAGTAAATAGCGATTATGATTGACATTGGAGTCAGTTAATCATAATAAGCGACATTTTTTGGGTGATTTAATGGAAAGATTGCAGTGGACAAGCAGCTTTGTAGTTTCAATGACAGCCAATTACAGAAGTTTGTAAGGTTAGATGCAGTTGTGATGCTTTGTAGCCATACTCGAAGTTTTAATTAGATATTCTACCAGGAAGACTGAATTAACTTTATGAAATTGACAAGTTCAAGGTCAAGGTTTAGTTCATATTTGTTTAATCTAGTCTTAAACCTGCGATCTTCAGGTCTGCATTGTAATTAAGAGTCCAAAACAATATTTTTCATTACCATCAGCTTCTCAGTGGTTCCTTTTAAGCTTTGTTGTCCTGACAACCAACAATTTCATCCTTCTTTTCAACATCCATAAAACTATGAATTGCTGCCAAAAATTCTCGATTATGTCAATCAATTCGACAATTAAGCTTCAATTTCTGCTCCATTTAATTCATAGCCTTCTCCATCCTCACATTCTTCAACTCCATTTCAATTTTCAGATATTCATTATGATAAAGTTATCACGTCATGCTCAGAATGAAAATTTCTACCTTTAATGATTGGAATTGTGGATATACATTTCATTTGTTAATTGAAAAAGTTTCTTTTTATGGATATAAATATTTTTTTTTGCCATTTACGTGCGAGCGTGTGTTGAGACTAATGGAAATTTAATAACAGAATGTTTAATCAAATAGAGTAGAAAGAAATCTTCGCGTTCTTGCCAAAAATAATTTTTACGACTATAAATTGAACCGGTTTGGATTCTTTTTAATTCAATTAAATTTCATAATTGGCAAATTCGTGTCTAAGAAGATAAGTTCAGCTATTTTAATAATATGCATTTTTGAAACAATATTATAGCCACAATATCACATTATACATGTCTGCGGCACCGGATATATTAATATCAAATTCATCTGGAATAATTTCATTATTAAGTTCCATATATACTCGGTTTTATAGCTATCTTAATATGAAATTACTGCGGTTTTATAAAGAACTTACAGCTGTAGGTGGAAGATATGTGTCTGACTTGATTTCGTAGACGTTAGTTTGAGGTCGAGTTGAATCAAGGTTGCGGAATTGAAATTCTGTTGAGAGAAAACTTACAAAATAGCACAAGTGTTAACAAGGGTGTCTGGGCTAAGTCTATTGTTTATTAATAAATACTGAACGATACTAAATTAACTACTTCGAATTGTTCAATCCTCAAATTTGAATTGTACGCAATGTCATGAAGTTAACATTTTGACTGCATGATTAATTTGCAGTCATATAAAAATCCAAACACTTTTAATAACTTGTTCAGTGACTGGAAAGTTGCGAAGAAATAAAAATGAAAATATTAGCAGCAATTTTGATTATTTTCTTTATTTTAATTGCTGAAAGCCATCAAGAAATTTGTGGAAGTGAAAATAGTATTTGTGGGAGTCAAAATGCTATAGTAGAACCAAACTTGAATGACTTTCCTCAATATTCAAACGAAGAATTAACAAGAAGTGGAGTAGGACCAATAATTTATCAATGAGTTGGATTTATTTATGCTTGAGGAGACCTGTGATTGAACGTTCTGTTTTTAGAGATGATTTTGAAATAAATAAATAAATTTTAGCATCGACTAATATTATTTCGAGACTTTAGCGTTCTATTGTTACTCAGACATATTCCTTCGTACCAAAGTACGAGTCCGAGAGTACGAGTACCAAGACTTCTTTCTCGTTATTACAACAATGAAAAAAAAATTATAAAATTCACAGAATTAAAAGCGTCAAATTAGACCAGTTCCACTTGTAAATCAAACGATTTAAAATGCAAACTCTTATAAATATCAAAGCACTCAAAATAAAGTTTCCAGTTCTTTAGTAGCTTTTAGAAAGAATCTTTGAAAGAAATAATGAAAATATTAGTCACAATTTTGATTTTTGCCACTATTTTCATTATTGGAAGTCATCAATGTGGAGTTCCAAATATTATGTGTGAAGGTAGACACCATGATGCAGTAGAATCAGTCGCATATGACTATCCTGAACATGAGAATACAAGACGTTATCCATCCCAACTCCCCCAATTTGATGACTACCCGGGATACATGGAAAATTATAGACCACCAAGACCTGTACCAATTCCAAGATAATTAACCAATCTAGTTTTGATGATCAATTCAATAAAATTCTGAATAAAGTTGTTCAATATGAACAAAATTTGGAGATATTTTAATTTATTATTACTCACTTACTTTTTTACTTCCTTGGCTGGGGCGAACGTGTGCTTATTGCTTTGCTCAAAGAATGATTAAAGACAGCTCTATCCTTCGACATCTTCTGGCAGTTCAGGATATTCAGGACTCTAGCGTCATTTTCAAAACAACTAATCCAAGAATTCTTCTTTATCTTGCTCTCTTTCCATCCACAAAGTCTGCTAGTTTAGTAAATTATTGTTAATAATTATAATCCAGAGTAGTCTAATGCCCAACATGGTTGCATAGGTAGAATTTTCAGCTTAGGCGGTTTTATGATTTTCCTCTTAATCTTAATGCTTCTAACACCAAAAACCCTTCATTCCAAATAACAAAACTCTGAGATTTGCTCAAAGAATAAAATAATTTTGCTTCAAATTAAAACTCCAAAAACATTTTTTTTTTGCATTTTTCATGGATGGCTGCATTAGAACTTCTAACGCCAATAAAATTGATTTTTTTTTAAAAAAAAATAATCAAAAGCATTAAATTGAATAATTCCATATGACATGTGTATGAAATTTTAAAGTGCATGATTAATTTGCAATCGTATAAATATCAAAGCATTGTAGAAATCTAATTCAGTTATTAAATAGCTAGTGAAAAGATTTATCAAATCAAAATGAAAATATTAGTATCGCTTTTAATCATTGCTGTTATTGCAATCAATGAAAGTCAACAATGTTTAGGTCCACGTAACATGTGTGCAGGAGCGCATCATCATAGACTACCAATGGAAGACTATCCTCAAATGGATCAAAATCAGGCCCAAAGAAGATTCCCTGAAAATCCTAACGCAGGTTATAATCATGGACAAAGAATGAGACCACCACCACCAAGAGATGTACCACTCCCATACTAGTTAATCAGCTAGATATCATTTTATTCAGTTATTAATTAATTTAATAAATTTGATGCAAAAAAGTAACAGAAGTTTTAAATTAATTAATTTCAAAATTATATCGACCGTTATAAAGAAGCTACCGTGCAATATTGTATAATAATGTTATGTGAGTTGTTTGCTTTGATTATTTACAAATTGCTTTTATAATAACAATATTTACTTCATAAATCTACGACTGGCAGCGATCTAGATAGCGGTTAAATAATTGCACAAATAACATCCATGATACGAGTCATTGAACAAACTTTATATTGATATTCAAATCGATCATTTTATTATCAATGAATTTCTCAAAGAATATGCTCTGATGCTACAGCATTTCATGTCATAACTTTATGTATGAAATGCAAGAAAACAATGTTATGGTTTCATATGGCAATAATAATCAGAAATAAGTTGGTGAATCTTATCATTTATTGAATAATAAAAAATTCAGTCTCTGTCTTCTTCTTATGCTCCGCAGTTCCATTAGATGCCATACTATTCTTAGCTTATTTTTTTTTTTGCTTGCCAGTAAGCATTGAGAAGATGAGAAAGGGAAAAAATATCATATATTTTATGATACTGTATTTCTTATTGCCACACAATTCATAACTTTTTCATTTCGTTTTCATACGGAGGAATTTTCTTCTTTCCCTTTCAGTCATGTCAGAACGAAAATATTTTTAAAGCACAAATATGATGTGGATTGGGGCTTGTGGGTGCATTTTGTCTTCTATCATGTTATCTAGATCAGTATAAACTTGATTCATTTAGTTTTGAACCGGATCAATAGGTTTTGAACCGGATCAATTGGTTTTGAACCGGATTAATAGGTTTTCAACCGGATCAATAAGTTTTGAACCGGTTTAATACATTTTGAAACGGATCAATAGGTTTTGAACCGGATCAATAAATTTTTAACCGGATCAATAGGTTTTGAACCGGATCAATAAGTTTTGACTTGAATCAAAAGATTTTGAACCCGATCTATATGTGTTGAACTTGTAAATTCAGTTTTGATTCAGAACAAAATTTTAACTCTCTTTTAAAATTCCAAAAAAGCGTCTAAAACTATCAGATGAGACAAAATTCTCCATAATTCCATCTTTCAACTAAAAAAAGCACTCAAAACAATAATAATTCTAAATGATTGCAGAATGAACATGCAATATTATTGTCTATCTCTCAGCTTTTCCTTCCATCATTCTCATTGGCATCGTTGTAAAGTTTTGTGATATCAAGGAACTTTCAATGTCATAACTTTACATACACATCATAAATCTAATGCTTATAGTCCTTTGTTTCTGCTGCAAAGAAACTTTTTGATAAATTTCCGAGTTGGAAAATTTTAATTGATGGAAGCTTAGTGGTTAGATTTTGGTATGGCACTTGCAGTTGACATAAAATGTTTGCTCCTTCGTAGAACAATTTGATTTTAATACTGCTGAATAATGTCATGTTTTTGATGACTTGTTTCACCAATTACTAATTCTTGGTATTTTTAATTACCAGTACTGAGCTTATAGAGTTTTAATCCATTAAACATTGTTACCTTAATTGATGATTGTGGCTTTTAGAAATCTGTTTTTTGAAAATTCTAGTAAAAACCAAGCTTTTCAAATCTAGGAACAGATTTTTGATGGATATGGATGAAGAACTTTATCATGAGTTTCAGTAATTAATAATTTTCAACAAGTATCGAATTTGCATTAAAAAATAACAAACTAAATTCATTAAAGTTGTAAGTTTTCCATGCAGCATACTTTTCAAAATGATCTTGAACTTTCATCGTTGCGTAAAATCAAATAATTCATTTTTCTCCCAACAAAACTTTATGCTGAGTTTTAAGTTCCTTAATAAAGAACACCGCATTCAATCAAATTAAAATAATTAAATTCCATAATATACATCGGAATAGAAGAACTTAATGATATTTCCAGCAGATGTTAGTAAATCCATTCCATGCACATCAATGCAACGTAATTTAAGTTATGCGAAGAAGAGGAAGCAGAAGAGACTGAGAGATGGAAAAAATGGGTTTTTTGGGTTAGGTCAAGGTTAGTGAATGCACTCAGGTGTTGAGAAAATTGAAATTTGTGATACTGTTATAAGGTGAGGAGATGATACTGACTTCTTACTTCTAATACGTATAATGACAATTGCAAAGAAGTTTGTAGAATCGGAAGAATGAAATCTCCTTAATTCCATAATGGAAGCAAATCTCTTGATAAAATCTTGTGAAATAAATCATTTAAAGCTTCTTTGGAAGAAAGTAGCAACAAGAGGTGATAAGCAGAGGATGAAGAACAATACAAACTGTTAAACTTTAAAATAGTTAAAATTTTGAACTTTAAAAAACTTTGCAATTTTCAAAACTGTTAAAATTTGAATTCTTATAGACTGTTAAATTTTCAATTATACAAAACCGTTAAGTTTAAATTTTACAAAACCGTTTAAATAAGAATTCTGAAAAACCGTTAAAAATTTTAATTTTATAAAATAAGTTCTTATATTTAAAAGATAATGCTCAAATCTTGATACGATTTACTTCCCTTGGACAATAAAGTTCATACATTCAGAAGAAAACAGAAAAATAACAAAAAACACGAGAAAGAAAAACATTGAAATATTGCAGATGTGGGAAACTTTGAAATTCAATTTCTGAATTTGATCAAACTTTCCGGTGGTTTAATTCTCAATCAGTTTAAAAGGAAAAAATCAATGAGCCATACGGGAAATTTTTTATACATCAAGTCGATTCTTTTATGTATCTTTTCCACTAGATTGTACTCGTGTGTACTTTCTGAGATGAAAAAAAAAATAAAAGATGAAACTTACTGTATATACATACAGATCCTGACTCAAATGAACATAAAGGGATTTATTGGTTTGGCTTTTTTCTTCTTTTTTTTATCACAATGAGCAAATTATTCAAAATAATGAACGAGAAAAAGTTGGAAATATCCAGATGAAAAAGAGTTGAATATTTTAGGATTCTTTCTTCGAGGAATTAAGATCCGAATCGAGCAAAATATTAAGTTCCTTTTCGACAAGGAGCTTTTATTTTTGTTAAATCGATTGCTTCTGCCATGGCAATAATTTGTTTTTATCAAATAATAAATTTTCTTTTCACGAGAACAGCGCTGATACTTTTAAGACTGAGTATTTATAGTTTTATTTCCATGTGCCCAAGCTTACCTTTTTTTTACCGGGTTTTATTTCTTCTTTTGGGTATTTTCGGTACATTTAAGAAGAATAATCGTGACGCAGAACTTCAACTTAATCCTACTTAATTTATGGGCAAGATCAGAAAAAAAGGGAAAAAAATTTATATGCTGATTTCTCTGCTTGCCAGCATCCAATTTTAATGATTTTTTCAAAGGTCGATAGTTAATTTCAGAAAGTTTAACTTTTTGTTTTATTTTTTAAAATGGCGACTTTACAAGTTACTTTAATTAACAAATTAATATTTAAAGTAGAGTTTTTCATATGAAGGAAGCAAGTTGGTTGTTCAAGATCTTCACAAAAGTTGTAGATTTTGATATTTTCTATCAAAACACCGTATTGTGACTTCAAAAAACTGAATAGATTAAGTTAATTTAACTAAAACTCAATTTGTTGAATAAATCGCTTTTTAACCGAAAATATTAACTCTAATTGACTGAAAACAATTAATAAGTCGCTAAAAAGTAATTTTCTATAGAAATTGTATCTGTAAAAGGCATTAAAATGAGTTAAATTAACTCAAAAAAATTGTAATTTTAATTGAGCAACATGTTTTGCTCAATTTCGCTCAGAATTTCATAAGAATTTTGAATTTTTTAAAACCGTTACAATTTTCTTGGTTAATCTTTTTAACATTTTATGATTTTAAAGGCTTTTCATAAAGACTTAAAATTATTTCTTTTGCAACAAGATGCATCTTATGTTTTGCTATAGTTTTACATTGAAAAATCATTAGAACAATAAAACAGCAAAAAGTTATATCTAGTTTTCTAAAATTCATTGTAACTTTGTTAATTAAAGTAGAACTTGAAATTTTTTGAATAAGCTTAAGGAAAACCATATTTGCTACCTTTTTTGTGAACACAGCTAGTTCCTAAACTGTTTCCTTCATATGGAATTTTCAACCAAAACATTTAAAACGTTAATTAAGCTAACTTATGAAGCCGCAATTTTAAATTTTTTATTCTAAACATTTACTGCCTCAAATTTTTAATTCCTCAGTGAAAGAATTTTTAAGATTGGTTTATTAGTTGCAGAGATATTGCATTTGCAACATAGTGCAAAACCGAATTTCCTTAAAATTGTTCGTGACGCTTAGCAATTTAAATTAATTTTTTAACTATAGCACAATGTCAAAATGCCACTTGTTATATACCAAAATGCAGGTCCTGGCGAGAGCTTTTAAAAAAACATAAGCTGATCAGCTTTATTTGCATTAATGATCTAAAAATTGTAAATTATTGCTCAGCGTCACGAACAATTCATTTTTGATCTTGCCCTTATATCTTTTTAAAGCGATTATTATCTTGAGAGAACTTTAAGATTGTCAGTGTAATCTAATAATAAAGAATTAACTTGTTATTGAAACCATTCAAGAATGAGAATTATTTTTAAACTTTGAGCTGAACATTGTTGCAATGAAATGTTTAGTCTACATTCAAGCTTCACTTAGTCTGTCATCTAACGTTCAACAAATTGTTCCATCTTATTACTCAAAAACTCAAAAAGTCCTTAAATGTTCGTTTACATTTTGAGTTCTGTGAATGTTTCTCCGAGCAATACATAGCTTACTTGTTCGGCTGCTAATATTGTAACTTTGGTAATTTTATATCATTTTTGCTTTATTTATCGTCTTCAGCCTTAAACTGACTCCATAATCATAAACCTTCATTCAAGTGTCACTCGGTTCTCTCACAGCAGTTCAACAGTCACCAGAAGAGATTCATCAACAATCCTAAATGTCTCTCTAC